CATACCAAACTAAATAAACTAAAAAAACCGCAATACAAGTTTTAACTTTCTGCATAATATACATACGTACTCACATACATACATAGACACATAATGATGAGCCTTTGCAAACTCTGCAGCCATACAAAAAAAAAACAATAGTTAGAAATACATACATACATTCACATGTACGTATATTTTCAATTATGTAGGTATAAACTTAAACTGAATTTGCAAAAATCATTGATAACACGGCAATACATCATTCTACATACATATGTATGTACATACATATGTACTAAACTTTCGTACAATCTTTTTATGACAGCACATGCATACATATATTAACATTTGCATACATACATACATACATACATACATCAATCCAAGTATGCGTATAATTACGGTGACCAGATTTCTGTGGCTAAAAATCGGGGAAATTTTAAAGCAACGAATCTGAACATACAATTTTGTTTTTAGAATAAAAAAGCTTAAAATAGTTTTATTTAAAACAAAACGAAGCGAAAAAATATTGAAAAATGTTATCAGTTTTTTTTTTAAGAAAATATAACTTACTATCTTAAAAAAGCACGTATGTAAAATAGAATTTCAAAATTTGTAGAACATTCATAAAAATTCGACGAATTTGAATAAATGTTCATCACAATTGGAAACATTTTAATCAGATTTTGTAGAATTGTTTTGAGTATGCAGTTTTATAGCCCATTAAATTTTAGCATAAAAATGTGAAAGGTGGAAGAAGCTTGGACTTGCCGTTGACTTTTGGCAATTTTTTGTTTGCCGCAATTTCTTCCATACACAGTATATTTATTCAAAAAGTTTTTTGTATGGAGCAAATGAGCAACACCTTCCACAAAATTTACCAAATATCAACCGTAAGTCCTAGCTACATAAAATTTGCACTTTGAATTGAATGGGTTACAAAACTGCATACTCCAAACTTTGTCGAATTTTGCTAATTTTTGTACAAAGTTTTAAATTCTGACTTACATGGTCTTTGTTAGATAACGAGCCACACTTTTATAAAACAATATTATAAACATTAAATAATCAAAAGGGGATTAGCCGATAAAAAACTAAAATGTCTCTTCGCTATTTATTTTTTTCGCCGCTATATCTACAGCTTTTGTTTTTCATATCCACGATTTTTTAATGGTATTAGTATTATTTTTTATAATTTCATTAATTATAGTATTATATTGTTAATAAAAATGCTGGCTATGTTTATGGCTCACTCATATTCCATGTCCTTTGTGATAGCGAAAGTGCTGCCTCGTTTGTTCGAAAAATTGTTTTTGGGTTTGGACACTGAAACACTGAAAATCGGGACTTAATCGGTACAAATATGAAAAATCGGTATACTTATACGTCCCGAATTAAAAAAAAATCAAGCGCGACAATTTTCTCAAAATCGCTACTGTCCCGCCAAAATCGGTACGAATGGTCACCGTACGTATAATATAATATCTTTTGTTCAGTTATTTTTGCAGACTTTTATTGCATAAAATGTTTTTTTAACTTATTTCTTGTTATGAAAAAATTAAGAAGGCGGCACAAAATGTGTTTTGACACTAATAATTTGACATAACAGTTATACATTCATACGTACACTGGTATGTTCTTGAAGAAAAACGATATACAATGCGATATTATTACCTAATAAATGTGGAATTTGTATTAGAAATAATTATAAAAGAAATACATATAAATTACTTTCATAAATATTACTATTAATACAAATGAATTCAATTAATAAAAACTTGTGCTTTTATTTATCTAAGAAATTATAACAGAAAAGTAAGTACAGTGTAAAATCAGTTTAAGCGCGTCTTTCTAATGTAGCCAATAAATGTTGATGAATTTTTTATTTTTTTCAATGAAGACGCAGTCAAAACTTTTTTATTGTTTAAATCTTTCCGGACAATTAGTCCCTAAATAAAAAGTTTGGTTTGATCTTTACATAAAATTGGGACCTCAAAGGGTTAAAGAAGGAAGGCGCGTACGAATGAGCACTCCACTCGGAGGCAGATTTGCTCATAGTGAATGCCCTGTGTGAGTGCCAGGAGGAGTCACATCCTTCCAACCCAGGTTAAACCATACTGTCAGTATGAAGCAGAGGTGGGCAGCCTCGGCAGAGCATTTTTGTAGTGTGCGCGCAATTGATGTCATGATGTATGCGTGCGAACAAATTGAATGAAGCTTCCGCTGCCTTCTCAAGCAGAACGTGTATGTATACGCGAAAACGCTGCCGCTGGAAAATATCCACGCTTAAAAGGCACTGTAGTTATTAGGCAGGAAGTATGATTACCTCATTTGAAGGTCCTTGGAGTACAGACCCGAGCCGACTCCTTTTCCATCTTTGAGCCATCGGAGTAGTTGGAAATACCATCATTTACCGACAGGAGACCACTTTACCAATCTTCCCGGGATTGAAAGTGTATGATAACCTTAAAACTAAGTCCCAGAACGACGTTAGGTAATCAGTTTAGACATATAAGTCGACCTTGGGCCCGTTTCGGTGTTCACTATTAATTTCCTTCAAGACCGCTGCGTGTCCGTAGTTGGTCTGCCTGCACAATTTTGGTTCCCTCAGTCTAAGGGCCTCTTTTACGGCTGCACATATTACGAAAACTTGTGGTGGCTTCAAGTAAAGGATCATGTTCAGCCCTGTTTGGGGTGCGCCTGGCATACCGAGGCTTGCGAGTCTCTGCACTTTTCTAATTATTCTCTGATTGTTGCTTTTATCCAGTGCTTTCCACCAGACCAGCGTTCTATATTTTAAAATCAGTTGGATGACTGTGGTCTACATACCGTGAATGATACGTGGTGATAGCACCCAGTTTTTTTCGAAAGTCCTTTTACAGGTACAGTGCGCTGCTAGGCCCTTATTTGCTCTTTCCTCTACGTTACGCCTCCACGTAAGTGTGGAGTCAAGGATAATACCTAAGTATTTGGCCTCGGAGGAAATCTTCAGACCAAGACAAATTCGGTTTTAGAAGGGTTACTTCCTAGCCCATTTAGTTTTGGCCAATTGGAAATACTGCCCAGTGTCGATTCCATCAGCTTACTAATTTTTGTAGTATAGCCAAGTCATCAGCGTAGGCAACTACCTTCGTTCTCCTAACTTTAAAGCTTTCTAACAGTTGATTTCGTACCATGATCCATAGCAGGGGTGAGGTGATAACACCCCTTCCTGCGGAGTTCCCCTTATTGTTCTCCTAATCACGGACCCTGTGTCTACAGCTGCGTTGATTACTCTGCTTTTCGGCATCGATTCGATCCATGCAACTATATACTCCTGGATGCCATGCCTCTCCAAGGCCCAACTAATTACTTCCGCTCCGAGGTTGTTGCAAGCCCACGCAGCATCTGTTCAATAATACGTCGCTTCGTGGAGAGCGCTATCGACTGATCCGCCCTTACAATAGGCATGCAGCGCTATGTCCATTGAGCGTTTGCGGGTCTTCAAATTGTTTTTAGTATGGACGATGAGAAGGAAATACGGCATATACATAAGTAGCATATTTTTTTTAGAAAAAAAGTGATCGCAATAACACAAAATGAAATTGCATTCTTGATTGATGGAAGAAGTTGCTGTTTGACTATTACATAAATACTCAAACCCTGTCCCTTGAACGTCGCTTCAGACCTGTCAGCCCGTGAATTTCACATCATTCCTACTCACGTTTTAAAGTGGGAAATAGAGATGGGCGCAGGATATCGGAACTCGCGCGACCTACGGTACCAATTTTAAATTGGCCGGCATGAGCGGTATCGGGAAGGTCTTTACGTGACCCCCGGTACCAATCTGAAAGGTCTCGGCATGGGCGGGCCCGGGACCTGACAAATGAATGTCGGGATTGGCGGAATCTGGATTTAATATTTAGTCCCGCGCCCATCTCTAATGGGGAACACCTCCCATGCACGAGATACTGACATATGTACATACATATAAAGAAATCAGTCCCACCCTGTCGAGGCAATACGTATTTTGAAATAAAAACCTGGCTTTAAGGATACATACATATGTATGTATGTACTAGGAATGTTTCGAATGTCATATTTTCCATATTCGCGAATGCGAATGCGAATTTTCGGAATGCGAATGTGCGAATACGAATGTTAGGAATCACATTAATAGAGCTATAATCAACTTAAGTAATTATTATTACTTAAAAATTTTGTAAATTACTAGAACATTGAACGAGTGCTTAACCTATACAGTGTTTTAATCTAGTAGCCAAAGTTCAAAAGGAGCATATTATATTTAAAAAAAAGTAATTTCGCTGCCTTTTCTCGCATGTGGTCGTAGTTTAGTTTAGTTTTCTACCAATAGAGAATATTTCCCGAGATTAGCTCGTTTTTCTTTAAGATAGGCCTTTAATTGAATTTTAATTTCACATTTTTTAATGTCTCCAGATTCTACATCCGAGCCTTCGCTTTCGCTGCAGGAATCTAAAATTATTTCTAGGTGCCTGAAGCTAAAAGCCGGTTATTCTACGCACCCTGGTTAGACGGACTTAGAGCCTTTTCAACAATATTAGAGTGGACTCTCTGTCCATGTACACAGTCGCATTCGCAAAACATTCGTATCATTTGATGCGAATGCGAATGTTGATTGCGAATGTGTAAAATGATGCGAATCATTCGCATAATGAATGCGAATGCGAATGCAAATATTCGCAACATCCCTGGCATGTACATATGCAACTTGGCTAACACAACTGCAGATTCTCATTTCTCTTTCCAAATTCCCCACTTGAGGGTTAATGTACGGTATTGACGTTAATAGGGTAAACAAGTTACGTTTATTTCTTTGTTCGCTTTGACTTCTTAAACATTTTGGTCACGTTCGAAAACTCTGCTCCCAATAATTCCCACAAATTTAAATTATTTTTGTAAGGGTTTATTTCTAATTTAAAATCATATCTTATAGCAAATATCACATTTATCTCCAGCTTCTTAAGCTTCCCACAAATCCAATGACCCATCACACTATATCAACTGCCTGCCGCATCTGCCGAATGCCGCGATTCTATGTGACGTTGAAGATCTCGCCTTCGCGCCAATGTCTTATTACACAGCGTACACTTGTAGCCCTCCATCGGCACATTGCTCACATTCGATTGCATATGCAGACGCACATGTTTATTCAGATTGCTAGGATCACCGAATGGACGTAGACAAAATTTACATTTGAGTGGCTTAAAGCCTGTGTGAGTGCGTATATGAATTTTTAGTCCATATTTCCGTGAATAAACCTTGCCACAGTAGATGCAGAGGTGACCCTGCTTAGAAGCGCCCATATTGCTGACGATCGCTTCGATCTGGGCAGCAGCGTTGAGTGGATTTGTGGCGCCAATGCCAGTGGCAGGTTGCAGTAGGTGGTGCATGTGTGGCAAAACGCTACTCACCGATGAAATTGGCGGTAAAAAAGAGAGGGCGGCACTTGGTGTTACTGCGGTGCTGCTGTGAGCGTTCGGGTTACTGAAGGAAGCTGTGGTAACAGCTGCGCTGAAGGCAATCGAAGGTGAGACAGGTTTAAAGGCGGAAAAGCGGTGTACTTGTTGTTGTTGTTGCTGGTGGTGGTGGTGGTGTAGCTGTTGCTCTTGTTGTTGATGATGCTGTTGCGAATGTGTGGATGTTTGTACAGCTGCGGCTGGCTGTGGTGATGAGGCTGGCGAAATGGATGATGTGCTTGATGGAGCTGCTGGTGGCGTATGCAACAATGATTGGCTGGTTGTTCGGGTCGCCGTCGCTGCAAGCAGCTCACGTTGTTGCTGTGTGTAGCTGGACGCTTTTAGAGCGTAATGCAAGCGTATCCAGAGTATATCCATAGAGTGACGACCACATGCGAGAGCCAAATGGATTTTTAGCGGATTCGGTGTTTCGAACGACAGCTGACAGAGGTGACAAGTGTAACGTTTATTGCCTGCGGGAATTGAAGCGGAGCAAATTGTGAATTGGAAAGGTAGTGGTGTGAATTTTTTTGTGAAACATTTTTGTTTAATCGATATATCAATAGATATATACATACATATATCCTAAAGATTATCGAAAATCATGGCATATGCGCATACAGCCAGCGCCAAAAATATGAGTACTCGACGTTTTGACGATTTTCTTATTTTTTTTTTTATAAAAATTTTGTCCATTCAACAGCAAAAAACAGCAGAATTAATTTTTTCAATTTCATATAGAACTCGGAAAAATTCAAGCAACGGCAAAAAATTTTCCTCAAAATGTTCAATTTTTGAATTCGATTTCTTAGAAAAATTTTGAGTATGCAGTTTTGTAGCTCATTCAAGGCTCTAAAATTTACCGTTGACTTTGAGAACTTGTTTTGTTAAGGGTGTTTAAATTTTCTTCTATATAACGCAGGAACAAAATCTATTTTTATATGGTAGAAAATGCGCAACACCCTCGACAAAAAAAAAATTCTCAAAAGCCAAGGGTAATTTAATGGGCTACAAAACTGCGTACCCAAAATTATTCTAAGAAATGGAATTGAAAAGTTGAAAATTTAGGTGAACATTTTTTGGTATTTCTTGAATTTTTCCGATTTCTAAATGAAATTTGAAAAAATTGATTCTGCTGGTTTTTATAAAAAAATAAGAAAAATTTGGCATAGAAAATATAAATCAAGAAACGTCAACGTATTCATATTTTTGACGCTGACTGTATATGGAAAATCATATCGACTTCAGTGTTTCAATGAATTACGAAAACGATATCGATAAATGAATTAAACACTGAATTAATATATCGATAAATATACAGGCATCCATATCTAAAATAGTTACGATTAATATATCAAAAATTACATCGATAAATACAAAATTAGCAGTAAAGTATAAAATTAATATACACGGCTTTATTTATAAGAATATAAAACTCTTTTTTTAGCAACACCTATCGATAAAAATTTCGATAAATCAAATCAAAAATACAAAATATCGGAATTGTATAAAATTAAAATACGGCCTTAATTGTAAAAAATATAAAACTATTTTTTTTGTTCGCAACACTCACCTTGTATATTAAGTGGCGCAAGAAACGGTATAGACATTAGCAGCGCCACCTCCTCGCCAAACCACGCCACTATTTCCTCGTCACGCGGCACATCGCGCACAGTTCGCACATGCACCATACCGCCCGGCTGCAATTCAAATAGCGCATTATAGCTGTGCACATCCTCCGAGAGTTTTATGCGTCTCAACAGTTCGGGACTCATGCGCAGCACACCTTGAGAAAGCGTACAAAATGCCGTACTAGACTCCGCAGCGGCCATAGTGTTGCCAGTGCTCATGAGTGCATATGTTGGTATCGCTTCGGACATCGTATCTTTGGGTGTAAATTGTGCGAGGAGGACACCGGTGCATGTGGCACGCAGTTTAGAACGCTTGGCCGTTATTGCAGTCGAAGTGCTGCTGGTAGCTTCCATCCGAGTTGAAGGTGGCGGAGAGTGTAGCGTTGTTCTAGTAGTGCTGGGGGCAATACTCGACGATCCTCTGCTGGTGCTGGGTAGTAGGTGTTCTATGCGAAATATCATACTTGCGCTACGTTTAAGCGAGCGTTGTTGTTGTTGTTGGTGTTGTTGGTGGTGGTGGTGGTGCTGCTGCTGTTGAGCGTGTTGCAGTGTCGGCTTTTGTTGTGATTGTGCGGCAATATTGCTGGTATCCAAGTGTAGTTTATGTTTATGCGTGTTGTTGCTCGATAGCGCTGGCAACATTTTTCTTCACGAAAAAAAAAATAAAATTGAAATATCCTCTTTGAAAATGTTTGCGAAATTCAAATTAAAACGACACTCTTGTGTATTCCCTGCGCGCTCTGATTTGATTCTGCGTTCCAATTGGGAAATGTCCTTGGCTTTTATATCGACGCGTCTGCCTGAATGCTCATTTCGCCTTGCAACCACGTGTCTGCGCCTGGCGGCCCTTCATTTGCGACCCTTCGCGCTTGGCGCACAAACGTCAAAGGCTCGTCTCGCAAATTGCCCTTATCCTGCGCGCCACGGCTATCAAAGTTTTCTGCTTAGAATTTTCGCTGCCATTTGAGCTCTCTCTCTCCCTCTCTCTCTCTCATAAAATCCCTGCCTGTGCGTGCGATTCTGCCACAGCTAGCGCCAACGCATCGCTTTAGTTCCGCAGTTGGTGACAAGTGCAAGAATTCCCAGCATTTGACATACCCAAACATCCGAATTCGACATCTCATTCACATCCATATCCGCAATAACAACATCACAATCCGCAGCAACCAAACAACACCAAATACTGCCTGCCAGCCTGCGAGTCAATCAGCCAGGCAGTCGTTCAACATGGTCCAGCGGTGGTTGTTTGGCAGCAAACAGCAAGTGCAACATCATGTTGTGCCACACGCTAAGCCATATACAGCTACATACATATACAGCAAGTGTTGCACGCCTCTCTACTCGACATTTACCACTCACCCATTTACTATCTGCTCTAAACAATCATTTGTCGCTGCTTAAGTAGATCTATGGCGAGATGTTGTTGTTATTGCTTTATTAAACGTTGTTGTTATTGCTTTGTTAGTGTTAGTGCTGTTGTTATTGTTGCACGCACATTTTGTTTTTTTTTTGTTGGTTGAGCCTTTTTGGCTTTTCGCATTTGTTGCCCACCCCGACAAGCCTCCACTACTTATCACTTCGTGAAACGCTTAGTTGGCAGCGTAAAAAGGTTTTTAATTGAAATTAAACGATCGAGTGTCAATGTTATTGCTGTATTGTACTGCTTGCAAATGTGTGCATGTATGTGCGCATATATGCAAGTTCTTTTTTTTATTGTTTCCAGAATATGTTTTGCTATGCTGTACAAATCGCATCCTTCACATATGGATATGCCTACATAAATACAAATGCCATGCAACCCCTCTCCGTACGCAATCCATCTAATACTTTAATTTTTGCATTTGTTTGCGGTTAAGTTTGGGGTGGGTCGTGATTTTCAGGAGCGTTCATAGAAAGGGGCCATAAGATTGACGAAGGCGCTAGCGGCTTACTACTCTTGAAAAACAGTTGCTGTTTATCGCCTATAGTATTTACACCAGAGTCATCAGACCTGTTGTGGCCCATTTGAGCCTAGTCTGGTGGAATGCTCTAAACGAAGGGAACAATGAGAAAGGGCAAAGGCTCGCAGGCCTTGTTATAACGGGGAGGTGACTAGTGCACCTCAGAAGGGGCATAAATGATCGCCTGAAACCGCTGCTAATTTTCTATCATCGTGTGGCTTTGCTCAGTCTTAGATCACTGACTACAATACGCGGGTTTGGAATTTCAATACAAGTATACCTATATGGCTTCTGACCGGAAAAAAATGGGGCGCAGGCCTATTAGTAACAGATGCTATTATATCCATATACACTGATGATTCAGAGATGGACCAAGAAACAGGTGCCGGTCTCTGATTGGTGAACCGTAGATGAAACCGACTTTTCGAAATCTGGTCTTCTTCTAAATAGCCCCACCCCAGGCGAAAGAGGCACTATCTTTTTCGATTACGAAGAGGCTTCGAGAATAAAATCTAAATATGTATGTATATGTGAATACTTCATAGCCCATTTAAATGACTTATGGGCCAAGTGAGTTGATTTTTAAATCTCAAGACCATTAGGAGCGCGTTTAAATAGGAAAAGCAAGGTAGATCCTTCCGCCATCATCGAAGCGACTCAAACACCTGGGGCATGCTTCTTAATCAATCTGGTAGAGTTAACAAAGATGGAAGTATTGAACCTCCTTCATTAAGGCTCAGGGACGGAATATTAAGTCTCGCAATAGAAGTATGAAATTTCCCCAATAGGCCCTTCTGGTAACTACATATGTTCCAATACGGTATCCTAAAAACATTCCTCTAACTATTCAGAAGTTAGTTGACAATAATCCTAAGTAGTGGGGAGTGAACTCCGCTTTGTGATGTACCCCTACTCACTATTTCATAGATGGAAGCGCTACCTCACTCTGTTGAACATTTTCTGTTGCAAATCACGCGATAAATTAACCTGGTGACTCCTTCTACGAGAAGCTACATCTACCGATCAGCACTTACAAGTACGCATGCTAACTTAATGGCAAAGAAACTTTAGCTTTCCCGATTGTTATGTGCAGATTAATCAGAAATTTCTTGCGGACACATGTTACATCTGTGAATGCCGTTTTGGGAACACAATCACCCGACGTCCACGAGACCCACCCACAATGGCGCAGCGGAACATTACTACGCTTCATAGCGACATCGTACGAGTCATATATATTAATATGGACGGAACTTAAATTATTGACAAAAATATGTCGCTGACTTCGGGAGACTCAAACCACAATAGCTCACTTCGCTCTGGCTACTGCAGCATATATCCCTAACGAATGCGGAGAGACACGCCGCGACTCAAGACATCTCTTCACATGCCCACAAAACCCCTCTCCATTAACGCTTCTGTCCCCCAGAATCTGCACGCTTTCTGGGTCTCCCGTTAGGTGACCTTGACGACAACAATTGAGGGACTTGCTGATCGAGGCGGGTGCAATAATGAACAATGATACTTAATGAAAAGGGCGCAAAAAGTTCCCTCGCCATTTTCTCAACCGCTCCTGTACTGCAAACATGCCTGAATGTCATTTTATTGCGCGCACGTTCCTATAACACATCTAATTATGCATCACCCTTGTATGTATATGTTGTTGTATGCACCGCAAATGCAAAGCGTTGTTGCAACCACTGCAACCGCAATACGCATAAGTGCCAGTATCATAACGCAGCCCGCGCGGCGATCAACGCCGAACGAACATTCAAACACACAACAACAACAAAGGCATTAGAATAATAAAGCGTTTACCTTTCAAATCACTGAATCATCAATGGCTCGTGCCCTTTTGCGTCGTCAACCATTTGCGTACGCTGCTGCTGCTGCTGTGGTTGTAGTTGTTGTGTTTTTAAATCTGCAAATCCCGAAAAACATGTGTTTCAGGTCACATCGCACGCGCCACTAGCGCCTTTCGCTTTCATCAACAAAAATGCCAAAATGCCTCTGGCTACTTACCTACTTGCCACTTGGCGTGGCTCGCGCTTCTAGGGTTGATAGCGGCCGAGGCGGCAGGGTGCGTGTTGCGTTGTGATTGTTTTGGTGTTTGCTTGTTTTATAATATTTTTGTTGGGTAAAAATTATTTAGGCATTACGAGTACATCTGGTTGGGTTTATTTAGGTTTTTAATTAAGTGCTTAAGGGGTTTTTGAAGGTTTGCAGGTGGAAGATTGTATGTACCACGCATCGTTGGTGGCGCTGGTTGGTGTATTCATTTAGAGGTGGTGATGGAGTTGAATTTGGCTGCTTGCCTTTAACATAAACGCTTGTTTGTGTGTGTGAATGTGCAACTGGCAGTGTTTTTAGCGAAATGCAGCTGCAAGTTGTAGGTATATGAAAATGAGTCCGCAAAAAAAGTAGGAAGAAAATTTTTTTCTAACAATCTCAATTGGGCCAATATTGGCCGATCTTATAATTTCATTCTTAAATAAGTGCGTTAAGCGCCAAGGAACTGTCGAAACTTATCATGCCCATACACTTTGTATGAAGCATCCCACAATTTACATATGTTCATATGCACATACTACATACATACACTCACGGCAAAAAGTATTGGCACGGTTAGTTTTTCCAACTATGTACAACAATATTTGTGTTTATTTTTTGCGCTGACTTTTTATAAAAATATGGTTCATACTACAACAAAAAACATACAAATATTATTTCTAAACTTTGTGCAAAAACTCAGAAAAATTCTATAAATTTCCATGCAAGTTTTCTAGTTTTTGAAGTTGCGAAAAAACCACAGTGATTTTTGAGATTTTTTTTGGTTGCAGGGTTTTCGCATTTTTTCCATACAAAGTGTTTTTGATTTTTTTTCTATATGGAAGAAAATGCGTGAAAAATTTGCTTCAAAAATTTCCTTTACTAAAATTAAATGTCCTACAAAACTGCTTACTCGAAAGAATTCTAAAAAATCTGATTATAAAGTTGAAAGTTTGCGTGAAAGTTTATTGAATTTTCTTAAGTTTCCCGCAAAGTATAGATATTATGTTTTTATGTTTTGTTGTATGTAGTACGAAAAATATTTTTATGAAAAGGTAACGGAAAATTTTTTTAAGAAAAATTGTTGCATACTTTTTGCCGTGAGTGTAAATACAAAAATCTTTTTGAAATAAATAAGAAACAAATTTGTATTACAAAGAAAGGTGGCAACCCTCATTGAAAATATTTTTTTTAAATACCCTTCATTGAATATCCATACTGCGTTATTTTAGTGGCAACCTTACTCTGAGACACTACCTTTCCGATGCAAAAAGAATTATCGAAATCGGTTGACGTGGTCCAAAGTTATGCGGGAACATACATAAAAAAGAAATAAAAAATAAATAAAAAAGAAAAATATTCCGACGAACTGATAACCTCCTCCTTTTCTGGAAGTCGGTTAAAAAAAAAATTAAATAAATATACTATTTAAAATAGGTGGCAAGCCTATTAAAAAAATATTTCTGAATTGGGATTTAAAAAAAAAGTGGTTCGAAAGCTTTGATGAGTACACCTGCAAGTAACAAAAAGTAGTCATAGCGCTGAAGAAATTTTTGTGGCTTGGAGAAGCGGATCATTTTACGATTTTCTCTATGAATGCATTTTTCCTCAAACCCAAGCCCAAACCCAGAACCTATAGCACACATACGCACGATCGCTTCCAACTGCTGACCTAAGTGGACCTTCTAAGCGAATAATCTGAAATCTGTATATTCCTAAATATTTATCTGATTGTACGCTAATGAGATTAATGTATTTGCGAATACAATAACTAACTGATGAACTTGAGGAACACAATACATACATAGTACGAAATAATTAAATTAATTTATCAGTAAATAATATCAGCACGCGGCCACACATGTATGTATGTATGTATATACATACACACATCATCCATATGCATAAATCTATTTCGTATGCTAATCGCTTTTCGTTGCTTGACGCAAGCGTTTTATTTTTAAGCAAGCAGTAGCAACATATTTTAATCGCAATCAAGATGCTGGGCAAATATGTTGGTAACAGCGCACAGTTGTTGCATTTCGCAAGCTGTTGCAGATGCTGCGACTCGCAGACTATGTTCTAGGTATGTAGTAGTAGTGTTTTTGCCGCACGCATATTGTGTTTGTCAGCGGTTGTTTGAGGGGTGTCACCAAGCTAATTTATCATTTTTCGCATCTCATATATGTACATACATACATACGAGTGCGCCAAGTGCATTTGCTGGCTTTTGTTTACTTAACAACAACTTAATCTATTCGCAACCACAATCATAACCATAAATGTACACCCGTTTGACGCCCACCCTGAACCATACAATATGTTGTAGTGTAGTACAACCCCTCTCAGCTAAGCGAGTCGTCGTTGCAAGCCAGCCCAGTCAGCCACTCAGCGCGGTCTAGGCAGTGGTGTAGCTAATACGCATCGAATTTGCTTTCACATTTAATGCGTACAAATACTTAATAATGGCCTTTCATAAAATTTCATCAAAATTCTAAACAAAAAAAAAAAAACAATATAGCACGCTTTATTGCAAAAGCAACAAGAACAACACAAACAATAGCGCAGAATATGACAGCTTGTACGACGGCGCAACGAGTGCGTGCAAAATTTTCGATACAGAATTTTTTGGTTGGGACCAACAATTGTTGGTTTCTTGGCCGGTGATGTTGGTGCATCGTAGCAAGTGTACAAACACCGACTTTACCATTACGCTGAGGGTGTTTACTTGTTTCGGGTATCGGCTTTCAGCTGACGGCATGACTTGTGCGCGGCCGCTGCTGATGTTGATGTTAGTTGTTTGGGTGATGTTGGTGTTGCAGGGTACTTGCTGGGTGGTGTCGAAGATCTTTAGTCCTCGGTATGGGGTTGTCTAGCTTAATGTTAAATAAGTGCGTAACAAAGTTTTGCACTGTCAGGACAGCAGGACGTCAGTTGGGTGGATTCCCGTGACGATTAGTGTTTTTTTTTTGACAATCGTTGACATCATTTAGCACTATTTCATGAAGCGGAAAAAAGTAGTGAGATGCATTTAAAATTAAAGGTCTAAAACAACAATTTTTACAATTTAAAGTTTTCTGATATAATTTGTGGAGCGAAGTTCTTCTCTCTCACCCCCTAGAATTTTTCTAAATGAAAAAAAAGAATACCCGTATTTTTTTGTTAAACAAAAAATATATTTAGAACGCCTCAAAGCGCAGGAAATTATCCATGTATTTTATATTGAACAGGTGGCAGCCCTCTTAAAAAATTTCATCAAAATCTGTTCGGCCGTTTCTAAGTGAAGATAGATTTCGCATGGTGTTGTAACTTCGTTATTATTGCACATATACTGTGGAGTTTCGATGATCTTCACAAAGACTCCCTTTGCGAATTATATATATTCATGTAGCTAGATATGTAGAAATGACTCTTCGAAAAGGTGGCAACTCTAATCAAAATTATTTTCTAACTAACGCTTTCATAAATCTCTTTCAATTGAACTTATATTTTAGTATTTGATATAACTTGTAATAAGTTAACTAAATTCGACTTTTCAAACATGTAGCAACTTTCCAAAAAGAATTTTCAAACTAAAATCATCCTAAATGTATTTCGTTTGACATTGTGATGCAACTTCAATTAACTGATGAATTAACTTGAATTTAGAATAAATCATTTTCAAATACATTCGAATGATCCCCATATTTTAATAATTCAGTTAACTTATTACATAATTTGAATTTAAACTGGTGGCAACCCTCTTTAAATACCTATTAAAAATTCTAAATGTTCAATGAAAAAATAATTTTTAATACTCATATTCCATCCATATTTTAATATTTCAAATCCACCATATAAAAGAGGTGGCAACTCTCTTCAAAATCTTTTTAAACTAATACCTTATTAAACCTCTTTCGTCTGCTAAATATAATTCAGAAATAAAGCTTTTTTAAACTCATTTCGATTGATCCCATCTTTCAATAATCATTTAAATTACTAAATTATTTAAAGGTAACTTTTTTAACATGTGGACATATTTTTTTCAAACTAAAACCTACTTAAATTTCTTTCGTCCGACACTCAAATTGTGATCATATTTCAATTACCTAATTGGCTTAAGTAAAGCTGAACTTGGATTTTAAAACAGGTGGCAACCCTCCTACATGTAGTTAAGAAATAAGACCTTTTCAAGACCATTTCGATTGATACTCATATGGTAATAATAGATTTGACTTCTTAAATAACTTTAATTAAATTTTTTGAAAAGTGGCAATTTGTTTATAAAAGGTAAAACCTTATTTTATATCTGCAGCCCAAGCCCCTTAATTTGGCAACTAATTTTTGAAAATCGAACGAGCAGTGTGGATTTTATGGCATTGCTTATTAAATAATTCAAATTAAATTGTGTGACAGGTGGCAACTCCCTTCGAAAAAGTAAAACCTTATTGCATGTCTACAGCCCAAGCCCTTTAATTTGACAGACCTTGACCAAAAATCCCTTTGCACATATAATATGTAGATTGTTTATGTAACCATTTTTTAATACTAACGATTTTTATTATTGCATTTTTGGGGGTTTTTGGGGAACCTAAAAAAAATAGTTAATGTTAGTGTCTGACCGACTAAAAATTGCATAGCTTGAAAAGATCGAGACTTTTATTTAGTGCAGTACACACCGTGTACCAGGCCATATTACCTTCGAATAAATGTTCCAAGCACCCCCACTAACTTTACTACTATACATAAAATTCCCAAATCGCTTTAATCAATACCATACTAAGCAATTTTGAAAATTTAACTTGCTAAAAGTTGTATCGGGCATTAAAACTTCGGACCGGAAATAAAATCAAAACGAAAAAGAGTAAGTTGCTATTAAAATAAAACAATAAAATGAAATTTGAGAAATTCTACAGAACGCATTCAATTAAAAAAAAATATAATAATTAAAATTTATATAATTTGTAAAAATTTTCTTTACAACTTTTCGGCCACTTTTAGCCGAAGCCAAACCGAATCCGAACCCGAACAGCATGGCCAAACTGTTCGATACCCGAACACTTGGTCGGACACTAGTTAATATTAAAAAAAATGGTTAAATAAATTTTTTTTTTTTGCACCACCCCATTTATTCGGCGAAAGACGACTACATTAGATATAACAACAATGAGCTCTTTTTATACATACATACAAACATTTTCTTCGAAAGATTTTCTTTTAATATTTAGGTAGCCCAGTTAGGTGCCTTGGCACTTTTTTCACAGGGCCTCTTTATGCCAAATGTCAAATGGCGAGAGTAAGACATCCACAACGAATATTCTGACATTATTTCATTCAGCTTACAGATGACTGAGGTGCTAGCGAAGGGAACTTACTTTATTTTTTATGAATAAGGCCATTATTATTTAAGTAAACAGGAAACAGCCATAGAACGTATACCTATGATTTCGGAAGATGAAAGAAAAGAGGATTTAAAATTTCATCAGAACTAAAAAAAATACTTTATCCCTTTTAAAACTCCATCCATTCATTATTTTGTCTCAGAAATACGGACCATTTTTTGCTTTTTATTGCTTAGGTACTAATGAAAAGCAAATTTATCGCATTAATGTACTTTTGGACATAAAACTTTCAGAAAAAAAACCAAAAGGTCCCGAAAAGTCCCACAATATCGAATCAAAACATCAAGAAAAGTCCCGAAACCTTTCAAAAGTAAAAAAAAATCAACAAATTTTCAAACTTTTTAATTTGAATCTTTAAGTCGTATGTATGCAATTTTATAGCCCATATAATTCTAGTCTAATGTAAAAAGCTAGTCTAAAAAAGCGTTGAGTTTTAATATTTTTTTTTTTGTCAAGGCATACCCAAAAATGTTCAAAAGATTCAGACTAAAAAGTTTGAAATCTTGATGAAGATTTAGTATAAAGTAGTAAACTTTGATTTATATGGTTTGGGTTAAAGCTTTTTAATATAAAAACTTTATATTACTTCAATAGAAAGAAATAATTCCATACAAAATTTAGCCGCTAGGTGGGGCGCGAGACGATTCACCTTTTTTTTATTAACTACCAATAAAAGCTTGCCATTAATTTTTTTTTAATTACTTGTTTATGTTCAAAATAATAAAAGTAAAGTGTCTTTTTATTCCTAAGAAACTTGTATTCTACAACGAGAGATCATTTTAATGATATTTTCGTAAAAAAGGGAATGCAAATTTCTCTACTATGCCTTCTTGATTTGAACATCTAAAAAACTTACTTTTATTTACCCTCTTTGCTCGCAACTCTAGCGTGCGCCCACAGTAGACGGTTTGAAGGGTTCAAAAAATGTAAATTTAACTTACCACCTACATACATTCCAATTCCTGGCGATTGCACGTATCTTTTTGCACTAGCTAATCGCAATATCGGCCTTGCGTTAAGCTGGGAAAATGTCAGCTGCTTTCTTGTACGACAAGTAAGTAGGACAAGTACGTCATGTCATCATTATTTCGACTCACTGAGCTTCTTTTGCTACGTTTTTTCCCCCCAAAGATACGCATTCCCCCTGTCGGCGCAATGCCGCTTAAGAGAAACAAACGTACACGTATACGTTTTCAAATTGGCCAGCTAAACTTGGGAAAACAAGAAGAAAAGTCGTATTGCGTAGTTAAGAATCCGGCGACACGCATTGACATGTTGGTAAAAAGTTAATAGACGTTCATTGATACAAGGGTGTCCCTTTGCAACAAAACACCTTGGCATGTAGGTATGTATGCTTGTAGTAGGTAAGTAGAATAAGTCGCAGTGCAAGTGTGGAAATTACATTCATTGTGCATTAGCAGTGCAAAATGACGCTGAGGAATTGAACAATGGGGGGAGCGGATAGCTTACGTTTGCGGTGGTTACTTCGATTCTACGCATGATACGCACATGCAGTGATATGTATGTGCACGTCCTTGCAGGCAGCATAGTCGACCATGTTACATTGCAGGTGTTGCCGATGTTTTTGCTGTTCGTTGCTTGATTGCTTCTCGGCTGGCCTGGCTAAGTGTTGCCATACTTCTACTCTCTGGGCATAGCGGATTTTTATTACCTTTTTTGGATGATTTGGACTGATCTTTAAAATCAGTTGTTTTAGCTGATTAATTGTGGATTTTAGCGTTCTATTAAAGAAGCGTTTAGATTTTAATGCAAAGTTCCCAAATGATATGCTGGGCAGCACTCTAAAGCCAATTTGCTTTGCAGCTTCTAATCTTTTTCTTTATTGTTAATCTACCATATAAGCTATACTAGTACAATTCAATTGAAATAAATCACCGTTTTATGCTTTTCAGAAACGGTTAGGTTGAATTAGGCGTACAGTGGCCCAGTGGAGATGATATCCCAATAACCTTTCTGGGCAGTTCAGCATAATCACTGTTTTTTTATGGGCTTAACTACACCCACAATACATTTTATAGAGCTCGTATAGTTCATCACTCAACACATCTCTCGCACCTGAATCAGAATTTTTGCGACATAGAAACACACTGAAAGATAAGACACTGAAAAAAGATTCACCTTAACTGAGACATCGCTGGTTTTGAACGGCTGGGCAGGTTCCTTTAAGCGTAATTTTTGGGCCGTATTTCTTAAGTATCGTAGAAACATATACTTATTTATGTTGTTGGTATATTTGTCTTATTTCATTTCATATTGCAGAAATGTGTATTGCTTTTAATATCAGCTTAAGTCCCATATTAGTATTCATCTTCGTAGTCGTATTTGTAATCGTACGTAAAAACGATAATAATGGTTATTGTAATGGTAATGTTAATCTTCATGGCAATGGTAATCATAATGGTAATGTTACCGATAATGGTATTGGAAAATGTGACGGTAATGGTAATGCTAATGGTAATGGTAATGGTAGTGGTATTGGTAATGGTATTTGTCTTCATATTCGTATCCCTACTCGACTTCATCTTCATCTACGTAATCGTATTCTTGTTCATTCAGGTCTTCATTTTTGCTTTCGTCTTCGGGCTCGGATTCGGGCTCATCTTCATGTTCGTGTTCATACTGGCGTTCGTAATCGTCTTCGTCTTCGTGGTCATTCTCGTCTTCTTATTTGTCCTGTCATCGTCGTGCTTGTCTTCCCATTTGTCATTTATTTGGCAACCGGCTGGTCACTAGTCGAAAACTGGTCACTAAGGATTCAGTTATGATTTTTGACTATATAATTAATTACCTTAATTGCAATGTTTTGTGTAGGACTGGGTTGGTTTCACATCTAAACTTTGAAATTTTTTTGGCTCCTACGCCCGTTCCGATCTGGCATCACCAAACTGCCTACCAAACTAAATGCGCTATTTTAAATGATTTTTAATTAAATTTGAAGTTTACTTGTGGCACAGCGGGTTTTGTTGTTTTAAGAGATTATGTAAGTCAGGCGTACAATAATTAACCAAGAGCAAATGGGGTGAGTGCGATGTATTTAGTTGAAGGGGTAGAAGGATTTGTGTTGGTATCTATTTATCAGTATTTTATCATTTGTTAGAATTAGTGAGTAGTAGAGTGATTTAAAATTGCAATGAATAAGTAATGTTTGCATAATTTGCTCCAAGGTAATACGTACGATTCAAATAGGAAGTGGGTTGAGTTTTATTCAAATGCAAAACGTACAGTCAGGCTAGTCATAGTTTGGCAAAGACGCGTTTGTTTTTTTATTTCCTTGTACTACAGCATTTTATTGATTTAGTATTTTTCAAATCATGCTTTTGGTCTATTTTCGTGTGATGTTCATTGGCATAAACCAACAAATTTTTATTTGACAAAAAAAAAATTATTTTAATTAATTTCAACATAGATCCGCAATACAATTCTTTTTAGTTATAAAGCGTATCCTTGATTGATTTTCTCTTTAACTCCAATGCAAACCTATGTATGTATATTTCTTGCAATTGTTAGGCTCTAGTTTTCAAGGCAGACATTAGCGTAATCACTTAACGCATTTGAAGCACATTGTGCTTGGCTGCTCTTGCATCGGACACGCATGCTCACTTTGAATGAGTGCGAAGCGCGAAAACGGTGTCGAAGAGTAGACTTTGATAATCATAGCTTTATTACTTCATCTTTACCTCTATTTGTATTCTGGTTGATATTCATATTTACTATGTACGTATGTATGTATTTCATCATAACGGATTGTACAATCATATAAGAGATACACTGAAAATAAAATGTTAGAAAATTATTTAGTTAACAAAAGTAGTAGCCATTGAACTGCAGATGGTTTTTGCGGCAAGATTTTGCAAGGTCGAAAAACATTCGAAAGATTTGATAATGTAAATCTTTACATTTGATTCTCAAATATCTGCAAAGCACGATCCCGCCTAGAAAATTGGTAAACAATGTTTTCGAAGTATGTAGAAATAGTTAAGAATACTATACTGTATTAGGATCAATGAAAGGTGTGAGTACTCTTTAGAGTACTGCCGCACATCAGCTATTGAACTCATTTGGGATTGAAAAGTTTCGGTCGCAGCATCACTCGCGGATAACCAAAATATAATGTTCGAGATCCTAGGACAATTTAGATTCGTGCACAGAAAACCAACTGAGACCTTTACAAAAATTTTATGACTACGGATGCATATCAGAATCATTTACAGCTGCAGGTGGTGACGATACGAATATTTTTCCTGCATTAATTTATAGAAAGATTACATCCTCGGTCTGTCTATTTACGGTTAGTTATACTTGAGAGTACGCATCGCGTATTTGCTTCTAAGCTGTTTAAATCACACCTATTAGTTAATTTATTTCATTCTTAAGATCATCGAAAGATTATTAGATTAGACCTCCATTGGGGCAAATTGTGATTCATGTACATTTCCCTTACGATACGCAATGTGCTTACTTATTAGGGTAGATAGAAAAAATCTGCCATAAAAAAAAATAGTCGAATATAATTTTTATAAGAAACCGCGTGGCACTGTCAGTAAAAAAAAATCCAAAAATAATCGAAATTATTTTAGCAACTTGAAACTTGCACTTTATTATACTAAAATTTAATGAGCTACTAAACTACAAAAATCATTAAAAATAATTTTCAAGCAAATAATAAAACCAACTTCAATTCTCATATACAAATTTAGGAGTACCGTTAATTTCTTCATTTCAGAGTCGGTTAAAAAGTATAAAAGAAGCACAGTTTTAGAGATTTTTCGAAATTTTAATGATCTTGGGGCGACCTTAAATGTTTTCCGTACTAATAAAATTTCCAAATCGATAAATTTATTTTTTTTCGCTCTACCCTAGTGCCTATGTCAAAGGGAAATTAACGGTTTCTACCCTTCAGTATTTGGCTAGTAAGACGTTATACATAAGTCCAGCTCTGCGGTTTGTATAAAACTGGTGTGCCAGTAAGAGCCTCTGCATAAATCCGAAAAAAGTGTTCTTGTACCGTTCACAAGAACGTATTAGCCGAACCTTGGCTTGATTACCATTTCAGAGATAGTAGAAATAGATAGATTACTCTGACGAAGCTAAATATGAGTATCTTGGAATAAACTTTGATAAGGTACTAAGTGGGAATTCGTTCCTGGTCAAAGTCTAACGAAGGCCGCCCGAGCCACGCGGGCCTGAACAAAACTCATCGGTCGGAAATGGGGTGTGAACTTAAGGTTAATGGAGAGGCTACATTGTATTTTATCCCGTCCGATTGTTACTAATGTTTTCGTAGTCTGGTGCCCGAAAACATGTCAAAAAGGTTTGCTTTACTCTGGGCAGTAGGATCAATGACAACTTGTTACACCGCGGACCTAGATGGGATGAACTTCACTCCATATTCTCGTCCAAGCAGCAGCAGCTTCGAGAGAGATGAAAATGCAAATATCTGGAGGTACTGTTAGCGCATAAGGACCGAAAGGTATTTTGGGTAGAATACCAGAGATGGACGGGTTTTCCGAATCCACATTTACAAATATCTACAGAATGAGCCTTGAAAAGGATTTTAAGGTAATTTTATGGATATACAAAATTTCAGACAGCCGGATTACGACATCCACGTTCAACAAACAATGTTTTGCCACTCTTCAACTCTTGGCAGTGAAAAGAACGGTAACACTATGCTCACCGCGGAATCGTGGGCAACAAGGTCGTTGACGAATTGATGAGGGAAGGCTCATCATTTTTTTTTTGAGGGCCGGAAGCATTTTCCAGGATTTAGTTGCTCTTCTTCGAGACTTAAAATGATAGAAAGGGTAAGCTAACAATGCAGTAAGAAGTAGGGAACGTTGTGGTCTCTTAGGCAAGTCATGTCCTTTGGTTATATTTTAGGTAGAAAGGACATACATACATCTTTTTAATAGAACCTCCTCCATACAAATAAAACCCCAAGAGTTGTTGGCAAAAGTAGTATTTTTGATTCTGCTCCATAGATGGCGCTGTGTTCAGGATGTGGTAGAAGGTCGCACTAAGGCGCAATTTTGGTATTTATTAATTGCCTGCTTACGTTACAGATTCGCGAGTTGTTTAAGAAAGTCAGTGAATTATTCACTTCAGTAGCCCCTCAGCGATTTTTCCCAGTGCTTGCATCTTTATCACACTTTTAACTTCTTCGTCTGCTTTATTAGCCTCTAGCTGACCTTTTGGTGCGTGAGGATCACTCAATCGTTGTAATACAATGTTATCCAGCGGCAATGAAGAAACGTTGCTCAGCCATCTAAGTTTATAAAACCAAATCCCAAATGGCTTCGCAAGTCAGTGTAATTTCGGTAGTTGAAAGCAGTGTGGTTTGGTTCTTTAAATAATTTAAACACAGCGCGAGGAGCTCTTCCATAAGCATGCGCACCGTGCAGGTTTGTTAACTCAAAAACAAAAAAAAAGTGCTACAAAAGTTTGAACAAATTAAAATTATTCTTTCGATTTCAAATTGCCTGTTTTGCAGTTAATATTTGTGATGTGTTGCATATTCTTTGACAAAACTTGGGCGGTACCACGCGGCTACCCGAAGGGCGGGCCACCAGCGCCACCACCAAGACCACAACCGCCACCTGGTGGTGGTGGTGGTGGAGGCTATTCATATCCGCCGCCTAGTGGGGGTGGTGGTTTCGGTAATGGTGGCGGTGGTGGCGGCGCGCCTGGAGCAGGTTCGGATATACCTATCATCAAATTGGAATCTAAAGTCAATATCGATGGTTCATATCAAGTAATTTCCAAAAATATAAAAAACAACCTTAGCCAAATTAATAAAGTGTTGCTAAACTGCAAAATTTCTATTTACAACAACAGTATGAATACGAAACTGGCAATGGCATCAATGCACAAGAGTCTGGTTTTGTGAAAAATGCCGACGATCCCTGCAATGCTGTTTTAACCGCAGAGGGCTCCTTTTCCTACACCAGCCCCGAGGGCCAAGCTTTCCTTGTGACCTATACTGCCGATGAGAATGGATTTCGACCACAGGGTGATCATTTACCAACGCCGCCACCCATACCGCCTGAGATACAGGATGCACTGGATAAGATTGCTGCCGGTGGCGGACATCCTGATGATGGCGGCGATAACGGTTGTCCTCAGAATAATGGCTGCAATGGTGGTGGTGCTCCGCCACCACCCAGTAATGGCTATCTGTATTAGGGGTATGGTAATAAGTATGGTGATAAGTATTTGTGTTCTTATTTACATCTACAATAATAACTATGTACCTATAATAAAAAATTTATATATAAACAAATTTGGTTAGATATCTTATTCATTCTTTTATTTTAAGTATTTGTAGGTAGATTGCAAAATTATGTTTTGTACCGATATACCCATGGCCAGATGGAGAACGCTGAAGATCCCTTTGGCTTCTCACAGGAATACTAACGACCCACTGAGCCAGTGGGTGGCTACATGACCGCCATGTTCTGAGCCCCGTATAACAGCAGCAGCTGCAGAGATGAGGAGGTGATAGAATCAGCATATCACTTCCTCTACTAGTGCCCAGCAACAATTTTCTGGGGGACCACTTTTTCGAGAACCCCGATAGGTTAGGGAAAACTCCACCGGAAGGTTTGCTAGTATTCGCTAGCGAAAGACATGTAGGAATAGGCTTAGGGGAATCCTTGTGGGTATCGCTATTGGCCTCGTAGCAGACGGCCCAGAACGATTTTGACGTAGAATACGTCTTACGTTTCGATATGGAGGCTATGCTCAAATGCTGTAGTTGTAATTTTTAGAGCTTCACGAAAACTCTCATTGCACGAGAACTAATAAAGCGATTTCAAGGAAAAGTGTGGTGTTTCAAAGACAAAACTCCTAGCCATTCATTTTTGTAAGTAACAAATTCGATTTCTGTCGTAGAAACAACGGTAAATATTGGCTTATTTTGGGGTAAATTTTAAGCCTTTAAAGTGCTCTGGCAACTTATGATTTGCAGATATAACTTCAATTTTTGGGATATAGATTCTTTGGAGCAATAGAAATATTATCGTGTGCAATATATATTTAACAAATATAAATTAAACAAATATAGAGTATTTTAAGGCAAAATGCTCGAAAACCGCTCCAACGATTTTGTTTTTGTTTTCTTTAATAAAAAGTTCAAGGTTTTTCCTTTCGTCTGGTATATGAGAATTATTGGCTGATATTTTCTAGGTATGTTTATTTGATTCAAATATATGAGTATAAATGGTTTTCCATACAAAATCACTTCGTCATCTTTTGCAAACACGTGCATGCGCTGGAAGTGCGCTGGCTTCTGAGTAACAAATGAAAAAGAGTTGCCACTTGATAAAAAGTGTATTTGAAATTATTTATAAGTTAAATGAATTATTACAATATGGGTATCTATCGAAATGGGTTTGAAAAGGCTTAATTTCTTCATTATATGTAGGAGGATTGCCACCTATTTACAAAGATAAATTAAATGTAAAAAATAGGTAAAATGAGTTACTATAATATGAAAATCAATCAAAGTGGCTTTGAAAAAACTTAATTGCCACCTGTGCACAAAGTTCCATGGGTTAAATGAACTGCTTTGAAGATATTTTTTTTCTAAACTACATGTAGGAGGGTTGCCACCTGTTTTAAGATTTAAATTTAACTTGAATTAAGGGAATAAGATGATGTAAATATGCATCACAATGCGAGTGTCAGACATTTCAGTTTGAAAATAATTTAAAGAAGGTTGCCACCTGTTTACACATGTAGCAGAGTTGCGATCCATTTTAAAATTTAAATGCAACTTGAATTAAGGGAATCAGATATTTTAAATATGTCGATATATTTCGGTGACATACGAAAAAGGTTTAACATGGTTTTAGTTTGAAAATATTTTTTATATTTAATATTTTGCCATCTGTGTAAAAAGCCGAATTTGTTTAAATTATACAGAAGTAAGTGTATTAAATATTAAAATATGGGTGTCAAACGAAGGATTTTTAGGAAATATTCAACTTGAACATTAAGAATATTAAAAAGGGCGGTTTGAGAGCGTTTGGACATGATCACTTTGAAATGCTACGTGCTGCAAACTCCATCAGGTCATCTATATTTACTTATAAATATTCCAATATGTCATCGTATTGGCATTCAAATTCAATTGAAATAGTACTCGTTTTTGTGTTCGCATTTCGAATTCGCAACAAAAGGGTTGCCTTTTTGTGCTACCTGATCTACTCCACTGAAATAAAATCATTAATCTCGCTTCAACTTCCTATACAAAGAATAATCGTTTAACCTAACTTTCAAACGCTTTCAAAGCCTGCAAGTAAAAACATTTTTAAATTGAAATAAATAAGACAAAATACTACAAATAGCAGTAGATGCGCTTCAAAGTTCAAATACAAGCAATTATTCACTGGCTACACCATAAGTCAATCGTTGATAAATGAATTCCTATTTAAATTTGTACAGAGCTGATTAGGAGATAAATTACCGGCTTCAATGAGACAAAAAAAAAAAGTTATACGTAAATAAATACTAATAGTCACGTTTACATGGACAAATTCAAAAATATTTTAAGAATTAGTTGACGATGAGCGATCAAACTAGGGTGGTTCATAAAGAGTTGATAAAAGGGCAAGCAAATATGGTTACTTGGTAAATGTTGTAGAGTTAATGAGCGGATGATGCTTTGAAAAGCGATTTATATGTGGCCATAGTGATAGACGAGTGGTTAGAGGTGCATACTAACACTCAAAAGGACATAGGTTCGATATCTGGACTTAGGATGCAGAAGTAAATTTGAAGAATATCATCATTCCTTAAGCAGACTTTATAAATAAGTATTGGCCGCTTGCTGGCCACCAATCTACGAACTGCTGGCTGGTTTTCTACCAGCAGCCTGAGGCAGAAAAAAAATACAGTTTTATGTGTCGTAAACTGAACTAGAAAAATTTAATATTGTTTTGCTATTTTTGATAATTAATAGCAACGTAGATAATTTGTAGATTTTGTACTGCACTTTTTTCGACAAAAGTTGCTATAAAAATGGGCTACCCTAATGTGTTCAAAAATATGTCCACATACCTCTATCTTTGGCATTCGTTCAAGTGTCAATCGTCGCAATTGGATTTTTGCAAACACGAGTATCTTCATCTTTTGCACTTGAAAAATGTGCGCATCCATCTGAAGTCGTTGTTTTGCTTTGCGAATCTCTTCATCTCACTACTTGTATAGTGATTTAAATTTAGACAAACTTGTCCAATAAATAATGACGTAATCTATTATTATTGCGTTTCGCCGGTCGAAATGATCCATCCCATTTGGGGTGACTTATGGAACGCTATAGCTTTTGCTCATTAGCATAAGCTTACAGCAAAATCAACGTACATACATACATACATACATACATACATACATATGTAAAAAGAATAACAAATTCTTAGGAAAATAAAAAAGCATCAAATACAAAATCATGGCAAAAATATTTAAGCCGCATTTCGTTAACTATAACGAAAGAAAAAACAGTTGAGAACATAAATGTGACTTGCTAATACTTAGATACTTTTTAGAATCGTACAACGCAGCAGACCAGTTTAGTCAGATTTTAAAATTGAAGGAAAGCACAACGTTCCAACGGATTTTCAACTGAGGTGGCAAAGAAACAAAAATAAAGTTTACTTACAATTTTTTTTTTTTTTATTTCGCAAAAAATTGAGTGTGAAAATGAAGAAGCAAATCGTAAGTACTAAAAAATAATCAATTTATATACTCCGTGCAAGAAAGTGCTGATATTCTATAGAATTTTTATTTGGGATTGCTGATGGCAAATAAGAATTTTTATTACGCAAAAGATCTGCGAATATTGAACGATCACTGGTTTATCAATAGGAGAATAAAAATCCCTGTTTGCGTTGAAACAGTGCCAAACGTTATATTATTACACATACCGTCACCTGAATCGTCACCTGAAATGCAAAAAGTCGTTACTAATAAAATTTTGTTTGCATAAAACGATGTGTGGGGAGTTGTATTTCGATGAAATGTATTTTATCAATCAATAAGTGAATTTTGATTTTTTTTTATTAGTTACGGCATTTTGCATTGCAGGTGATGATATGTAGGTATGTATATGGATGTAGAAAGAAGCTGGTCAAGAAAAGAAAAAAAAATCATTCCATAACTTTTCTGTCGCAGTTGGACCAAAACGTTTATCT